ATATATATATATATATATATATATATATATATATATATATATATATATGTACGTCTATATGTGTATGTAAATTTACTAACATTAGTTTTAAGAATATTGTTACTAATAAATATTTAATGGACCAAAAAAGTCTGAAATAAAAAATATTATTATTTCCTGTATTAATTTTAATGTAGTTGGATCGATGATTTAAATTATGTTTTTATCTTTGATCGATCCAAAACTTTCGATTCCAATCGATTCGAGAGATCGATGTTTTTATTCAAAATCGGAAACCCTAACATATAACGATAAGTTACGAAGATATATCGACTAATTTAATTATTAATAATTTATAGACCTATAGATCAGAAGCGACAACGGAGCCATAGGAGATGAGATGTTAGCTTATCCGTCTTTAAAACAAGGCAATAAAGATGGTATTGCATTGTGGATGGGATAAATTAATTTTGAAAAACATTTATTTGCGCGCAATAGGGTGCCAATTGCATGCTTACTGCATACGTTTCTGCACAAAGTTTATTATAGTTTCCCGTTATGAAATATTATTATATATAAATAAAATGTAAATATTAAACGACAGACATATCTTACATAAGATTAAAATCATTATATTTTTCCAATTTTGTTTGAATATTATTGATTAAAAGACTGTCATCATTGTGTTCTCTTTTATTTGATATGTATATGTTGTATTTAACATACATATAAATATATATTCTTTTTTATGCAGGTTTATATTTATATGTATATATATGTATAATATGTATGTATTAATATTGTATCTTTCAAATATATACATATATATGTATATATAATGATTTGTAATTTAAGTATTTTATTATTTATTTTAGTTTCTGTTTAGAACTACTACTTTAGGTCTTTAGGTTAGGTTGACTGGAAGAAATCTCTTTTAGAGATAAGTTCGCCTTTGCTAACATTGTTATTAACTTATTGTTGTTACTGTATGTTTTAGTATATATATATATATATATATATATATATATATATATATATATATATATAGATATATATATAACATTACTCTTTTTTTAAAGAAAGAACTCTGCCAGTGAAATTAAGCAATGATTGTGATATGGGACGATGAGTGGGTAGAAGAAGAAATTTCCGTCTCGGAAACGGAGACATGACAGCGCTACATTACTGGTGACCACGGCCGATGTGACCTGGTCATGACACCTCGCGTAAGTTATCATATTTTACCTAAATAATAGCGTTAATTCCCATCTCTAATAAACCAAATTAAATATTTTACCCAAAAAAAAAACATGGTGCTCAAACTACAAAAAAAAAAAATTAACTGTTAAAAAAGTCGTCAGAGCTCATTATCATCAGGACAGCCTTGAACTGTCGGGGGGAAAGGGATTGTTAGTAATGAGATCTAATAGCACCATTGCTAGCAATATACCCTCTCAGGTCGACCTCCACGCGGTTCCCCCTGGAAACCATCATGGTTAATTCTAGTTGAATTCATCATGGTGGGCCAACTGACTTGCATTCATTCTCACCTATCATCTTCCACTGGTGCCCCGCCGGTGTATACCGATAGCGCAGGCGGGGTTACCATTTCAATTTCACCCATTAAAAAAAACCCTTATCTGTCCACTGCTGATCCATAAGCCTCACCCTTGGGGGGTTTTACCAGTAGTCGCCACGCTTGGTAGACGTTTTTGCAACCGCAATCAGAATTTAGAGATGTTTTAAGAGGGACGTTGCTGCCCATGACTCGCCATCCCTTAATTGGCTCTTACGACACCCACGGGATAAGAAGCGGTGGCTTATTCTATGCCGGGATCACATGGCCAAAGCTAGGCATATTTACATATATTAAAATAAAAAAAAAAATTACGTAAATATATCTTCAGGAAATTATGCAAAAAAAAAAGGTAAAAATTACCATTGTACCATTTATAGTAGCAGCCACTTAATTTAGTGTATAAATGAATGATAATTGACTTCGAGGATTGATTTTGAGTCACTTAGCTTTCTGTGTTCACTTGTCTGTCCTTATTAAGGTGAAATAATTAATTCGAGGAAAAAGACCCATTTGTCGACCAAATGTCAATAAAGAATAATTGATTAGTTCATAGTTTTTATTTTTTTATTTTTTATACTACTTAGAATGACAAACAAGCTGACAGCCCACCTGATGGAAAGTGGTAACCGTCGCCTATAGACATGAGCAGTACCATGGACATAACAGAGTATACTGTTTCGCCCATGATACCCTCCATGCGTTGCCATTCCTGAGGACTCAGGTGTTATTCCTCTGTACCCAGTAAATTCACGCCATATCCCACCCTACAAACCGAAACACAGCCATGCAAACACTACTGCTTCACGGTTGAAACACGAATGGGACAGCGGTATCCAAGCAATCGACTTTTGTACAAAGTCTCCCTCTGATATAGTGCATTGATAACAGATATATCTGATGATATTTTGTGTATAATTTCAAAAGATTTAGAATTACGGGAGAAGTCATAATCTCAGCCATTATCCGTCCATTGCTGGACATAGACCCCCCCATAGACTGCCATAAGGAACGGTCTTGAACCGTCTGTATCTGCTGACTCCCTACAATACATTTGAGGTCGAGAAGAAGAATTTAAGACAACTTGGTGGTGGGTCCACTTGGTCGTTTTTTGTTAGTAAGTGTACTTAAAACCTATGTTAAAATTTAATTACTAATAACGATCTAGTCATCTCGACAAGCATTCCCATGAGAGGACTATCTAATTTATTTACAAACATGTTCAGGATACTATTGCCATTCCCGTGTTTTCTATGAGTTATTATGTAACAAATATAAATATTTTTTTTTTAAGTTAGGCAGAATAAATTGTGTCCATTGATCAATTTTCTATGTAACAGTGAAAGTTGTCAAGCCTGCTACGCCTACATTCCTAAAAATGGCTACCTGAGTTATTTATCTGTCGACAAGAAAGTCAAATGTCAAAAGTTTATGGCTGTATGCTGATTGTTCGCCTACTCAGGTACATAAACTATTTACTTTACATACTTAACAATTTTATAATCGTATGTTTTATGTATGTGGGTATATATTCATATAATATATTTAAGTAGATACGAGTATATGTATATATTTTTTTTTCATGGGTGAAAATGGTATGGTAACCCCGCCTGCGCTAACGGGATACGCTGGCGGAGCACCAGTGAAGGGTGATAGATGAGAATGAAAACAGGCCAGTTAGCCCATCATGATGAATTCATCAGGAATTAACCATGATAGTTTCCAGGGGGAACCGCGAGAAGGTCGACCTGGTTGGGTATATTGCTAGCAATGGGATTCTCAGTCTCCATTACTAACAGTTCCTTTCCCCAAGTATATATTGCAGGGAGTCAGTGGAAGCAGGTGGCTCGGGACCGTTCTTTATGGCAGTCTATGGGGGAGGCTTATGTCCAGCAGTGGACGGGTAATGGCTGAAATGATGACGATGATGTATATATATAATTAATAGAAAGTAGGGATACAAATTTATATTATTATATAATATATATTTCATATATATTTCATTTATATAATATATAAATGAAATGATTATTATAATAGAAATGAAATACATATATAATATATATTTCATTTCTATAAGTATTTAAAATAACAAAATTTTCCTCGTGCCTCCGAACAAACTGTACACGACTACTCCTCTCCATCCAAAGGTTGGCTGGAAGAGATCGCTCTTAGCGATAAGGTCGCCCATTGTTTTCTCATTGTGATTATTTCTTGTAATTATTTATATTTATAATAAGTTTACTATTGTAATCTTTTGGAGGAAACAATAAAGAGTATTTATCTACTTATTTTTTAACGGATTTAAAAAGATGTCTCAAGTGCCTGTTATTGTCTGTTGGATATACGACAAAAAATATTTACGCCACATCTTCGTCAATTATGAACCGATTTTAATGCCTCTTTTTGTAGTCAATATAAATATATTTATTTGTGTATTTCCGGTGAATTCGTCATGATGGGAAATGATCTTGATTGTATTCTTATTTTACCCATATCCAAATCTCCACTAGATGGAGTGACGACTTCAAATGCATTGCAGGGTGTCAGTGGATGCAAGTGGCTCAGGACCGTTTCTTATGGCAGTCTATGGTGGAAGCCTATGTTTAGCAGTGGACAGATAATGGCTGAAATGGTGAACCTTAGTAACGAGTCAGCTAATTGTTAAATTAGCTGGCTCGTTTTTTTTTTATCAATGTTTTAAATACTTACGCACATAATGTATATTGACGTATCTATATTTAATAATTTAATAAATAAAATGACTGTTTACGCATTAAAAAAATGCGGAAATTATAAGACAAAATAAATATGAGCATAGAAGTTATAAAGGAATCACTCATAACCATTTATCACGCAAAATTGTATGAAAAAATTGACTCGATTTTCTCGAAGTATTTGTATGGAGACACTCCATCTATGTATATAAATATTTGTTACTTTAATAAAGTATAATTTATTAACTTAAATAAAGTATACTTTAATTGTCTACAATGCTTCATTCCTATTTCAATTATAATTCCATCCTAATACACTTATAGTAGAGGGAAAAGGGATTGCTAGCAATGGAGACTGAGAATCCCATTGCTAGCAATACACCCAACCAGGTCGACCTCGCGGTTCCCCTGGAAACTATCATGATTAATTCCTGATGAATTCATCATGATGAGCTAACTGGCCTGTTTTCATTCTCACCTATCACCCTTCACTGGTGCTCCGCCAGCGTATACCGTTAGCGCAGGCGGGGTTACCATACCATTTTCACCCATCAAAAAAAATAAATACACACTTATTTTTTTGGTTATTTTTGTTTGAATTAAAAAAAATATTTTCTACAAATAATGTATATGGCAAAACAACGTTTGCCGGATTATCTTGTCTATGTATATAATCTAAGTGTTCTTAATATGGAAATCTTAAAAAAAAATATATGAATCCAATTTACCTCGTCAGTAGCGTCGAGTGCGCGCGAATCCGCGTGCAGCAAGCTGGCGAGGCGGGCCGCGTCGCCGCGCGCCGCCGCCTCTAGCAGCGCCGCGGCCACACCCATGCGCCCTCACACCATCACTGTGACGGCACAAACAAACAAACACATGTTACTAACAAAATATGAACAAAATATTTAATAATAGCGCATATAATAAACACAGACCAGAGGGAGACTTTGTACAAAAGTCGTTTGTTTGGTTACCTCTGCTCCTCCACCCTTCAAACCGAAACACAGCCATGCAAACAGCTGCTTCACGGTTGAAACACGAATGGGACAGAGGTGCCCAAGCAATCGACTTTTGTACAAAGTCTCCCTCTGGTACAACTATAATTGGATTGCAAACTTTATAATGCTATTATTGTATTCTATTGTTCCAAGTTTTGTTTGTAATCTGCTGATGTATCACGGAAATAAACAAATAAATAAATAAATGAATTACATATATGTACATATTTTTTTTTAATGGATGATAATGGAATGGTAACTCCGCATGCGCTAACGGCATACGCTGGCGGGGCACTAGTGAGGGATGATAGGTGAGAATAAAAAAAGGTAGGCCAGTTAGCCCATTGTGACGAATACACTTGGAATTTAGCACGGTGGTTTCCAGCAGGGACCTGGTTGGATATATTGCAAGCAAATAGAGCTCTTAGTCACCATGTCGTGTCGTCCCGGCAAAGAATGGGCCACCCCTTCCTTTCCTGTCGTTGTTGTAAGAGACCACTAAGGGAACATAATGGCTGAGAAATGGGCAGCAGTATTTCTCTTAAAACATCACCAAATCCTAACTACCAACCCGCCTGCCAATCGTGGCGACTACTGCCAAAACCTAATAGGAGGAGGCCTATGTCTAAGACATAGTGGACTGTTTAATGCTGATATGTTGACATATATACAAACATACATATTAATACTTAAATGTTAATACATACATATAAAAATATACTATTGAAGCGTGAAAGAAAATTGTACCCGACAAAAAGTCTAAAGTCAATAACTCTTCAAAGGGGAAAGAGATTGATAAGTAATGGAGACTGAGAATCCCATTGTTAGCAATATACCCAACCAGGTCGACCTCCTCGCGGTACACCCTGGAAACTATCATTGTTAATTCCTGATGAATTCATCACGATGGACTAACTGGCCTGTTTTCATTCTCATCTATCACCCTTCACTGGTGCTTCGCCAGCGTATCCCGTTAGCGCAGGCGGGGTTACCATACCATTTTCACCCATCAAAAAAAAAACTCTTCAATGACTCTATCGTAGTCCAGTTGCCTCTAGAATATTCCAAGGCCTGTTATTAACTGTATCGTTACCACAAACTAATCATAGTGGCACCGTTCCAACATTTAACAACCATTATTCATTTGCCTCGGAGCATTTGCAGATATAGTTTTATAATGTTTTATAATGAAAGCTCGTCTTAAGAAAACATCACATTCGCTACTTGTTTTAAATAACTATATACTTGTAAAAGCTAAATTTGCCTGCTCAACGGAAAAGATGCCGCTTTTCAATACACTTTAAAAGGCTTCATTATATTTTATTGTAATTTTATTCTAACGGTATTTTTTTATGCAACTTAGAATGGAAAACAAGCTGACGGCCCACCTGATGGAAAGTGGTAACCGTCGCCTATAGACATGAGCAGTACCGTGGACATAACGGAGTATACTGTTTCGCCCATGATACCACCCATGCGTTGCCATTCCTGAGGACTCAGGTGTTATTCCTCTATACCCAGTAAATTCACGCCATATCCCACCCTTCAAACCGAAACACAGCCATGCAAACACAACTGCTTCACGGTAGAAACACGAATGGGACAGAGTTACCCAAGCAAACGACTTTTGTACAAAGTCTCCCTCTGGTATATTCTCTGGTATATATATGTATTTTATTATTAATATATTTGTCTATTTATTGTATGTTGTCACTTCATATAGGTACACAATATTTGTATTCGATCGATTTCGATGATTTATTTTGCAATTGATAAAATATACTAATGTGTCGGTTTTATAATTTATCTACATATATCGCGATTAAATAGTGTTGTTTTGGCAAACAAAATGTTAAATATTAGCTTTCGGCCGCGGCTTCGTTCGCGTAATCGTAATATATTCGTTGACTAGTATAAAATGTAGCTTCTCCATCCCATGTAGTAGTCTTTCTCCAGCCTATGCATACGTGTGTACACTTGACGTACAACTGCGATTTGTAGGCGAGTATGCGTATGAGTCTACTGGGAACGGCTTATCCAGAGCCAGGGGACTACAGATATCTTAAACCGCGGGATATCGTTAAGGTAACACAAAGGATCTATAAAATGATGGTATAAGGCAGGGGGAAGCACAAAAGATTCGTATGGGTCGACGTGCAACGGCTTAGCTGACCCCATATGCGAATATAAGATAAGACGTGTATACTAAATGTGTGTATGTATGTGTATGTGTATATGTATGTATATGTGTGTGTATGTATATGTATGTGTATATGTATATATATATGTATATATAATAATGAGTAGGGATAATTTTTATATTATTATATGTATTACATCTCCCATATCTAGAACTAACAAAATTTTTTATCATGCCTCCTACCAAATTGTTTATAATTACTCCTCTCCATCCAAAGGTTGCTTGGAAGAGATCGCTCTTAGCGATAAGGTCGCTCATTGTTTTCTCATTGTGATTATTTCTTGTAATTGTTTATATTTATAATAAGTTTACTATTGTAATCTTTTGGAGGAAACAATAAAGAGTATCTATCTATCTATCTAAATTTAAAAATAAACAGTTTCACGTAAAATTAACAGTTTCACGTGCACGAATTTACATGCGCCAAGTTCATTTTTTAATCGATATCTAAATATTCGTTTCGCCTATTCTACTTTAACTGTAACATAATGTGCATAATTATATGAATATATATATCTTTAAAAAACTATTTTATGAGTTGGTATACACACGTTTTTGTTGTTAAAACCGATGCGTGGTTAATATGTAACGCACGATTGATTTCACAGTGTTGTGTTGAATGAGTCCACGGCGTGAGAGTGTGAATTGATTTTTTATTGGACGTGCTTCAATATGGACCGTGCATAGGAAATTAGGATCTAGTTTATGACTATTAATCACGGTGTATAATTTAAATATTAATTACAGTTTTAGAGAGTATTAATTAAATATTATAGCTACTTGAAGAAACAATTGCGTAGATAACTAACCGGAGGGAGACTGTACAAAAGTCGTTTACTTCGGTACCTCTGTCGCATTCGTGTTTCTACTGTGAAGCAGTTTTGTTTGCATGGCTGTATTTCGGTTTGAAGAGTGGGATATGGCAGGGAATTTACAGGGTACAGAGGAATAACACTTGAGTCCTCAGGAATGGCAATGCCTGGGTAAAGTGGGTATCATGGGTGAAATAGTATAATCTGTCCACGGTACTGCTCATTTCTATAGGCGACGTTTCCATCAGGTGGGCCGTCAGCTTGTTTGCCGTTCTAAGTTGCATAAAAAAAGTTCTGTCTCCATAACAAATACTACGAGTATACAAAATTTCATGACAATTAGTTTAGGCACTGAGAGATAAGTAAGAAACAAAACTCACTCTCACGTTTATATATATATATATATATATATATATATATATATATATATATATATATATATAGAATAACAATCATTCAGCTGTTATCTGTCAACTGCTGGAAAATAGGTCTCTTCCATACCCTTCCATAGACTGGCAACATTTCCAAGCCATATTTGCCAACATTGGCAAAGTGCCACTGACTCTATATACATGCTTAGACTATAATCCTAGATGGGATAGACAGAAGTATTTTACAAATTATTGCTGCTATTACAAACTAAGCTTAACATTTGAATCATTCGAAATAGATCGCAAATTGTGCAAGTATGTACGATTCAAATTTAACATGGCAGGGCATGAGTTTCTTGGAATAATGTTATTTTAATAATTATGAAATTATAAAATAAACCAAATCTCGCCAAAAATAATAAAGCAAAAACTTAATTAGACACCAGTGAAACCAGTTTAAATATTTTATTCGATATTAACTAACAAATTATTAACGTCTGGTTCCATATGCAAGTAGTATCATTATAATAAAATATTGCGTTTATAATTAGATACTTTGACACAGTGTTAGGTGTTTGTTTTGAATAAAACATCAAAAACATTAATCACTATAATATATTAATTGCTACTTTATCTTTAAAATGTAGACGATGCAACATTAGTATAGTTTGTTTCAATAGTTAGTCAAATCTAATGAAAAGACAAGTGACTTTTTATCATCAGATAGGTCTTATATATATAGGATCTTTGTAGTATGAAAAAAAGTTTTGTTGAAATTATGAACAATGTAATTTTTTTATGCAACTTTGAATGACAAACAAGCTGACATGAGCAATACCATGGACATAACAGAGTATACTGTTTTGCCCATGATACTCTTCCATGCGTTGCCATTCCTGAGGACTCAGGTGTTATTCCTTGTAAACTCACTGCCATATACCACCCTTCAAAGCGAAACATAGCCATGCAAACACAACTGCTTCACAATAGAAACACGAATGGGACAGAGGTGCTTAAGCAAATGATTTTTGTACAAAGTCTCCCTCTGGTAAATTAATTGAAATGACTTATATAATTAACATTGTTTTAGTAAAAATAACAAAGTGACTTACATTTTTTACAATTGAACATTAAGAATAGAACAGAATAGAGGATAATGTAATTATTTTATAGAAACATTTCCATCAAGAACTTGGCAACATTTAGCCGCGTGCGTTAACCCGCCGCAAGCGTTCCCGTAGTTGCACTGAAACTCAACCGTGATTGACCGTCATTACATACTTATAGAATCATCTTGTATATCAATATAGGCTGTGTATATATTATATTGAGAACAGCGATATTTACAAGCGGATATATTAAAAGTTAAGCCAACAGTACAACCAAAATATTTCATTTAACACTAACAAATGAAAAAATTAAGATATTTATTTTAAAAAAGCAGAAATTAAAAAAAGGGCATAAAATAAGTTTGGAGTCAGAAATAGTAAATTTCTAATTAATTAGAACCTTTGCACAAAAAATTTTTTACTTATTTTTTTTGTAATTTAAAAGGCTCTCCACAAAACTTTTTGACTTAGCAATGGCAATGATAGGCTGATTCTGTTCTATTGTTCTTATGAGAATAGTTCAATTCCCACTAGTGGGATGAGGGATTGCTATAATATTTAAATTCTCTACAGTAGTTACGTAGTAGTTAGCTACATTTGATACTTTTGAATCATTGTTGCACAATTTTTTTATTTTTACGTTAAGACTTTTGTTGCAGGTTCAAATATCATTAAAAAGTAATCATCATCATCATTTCAGCCATTACCCGTCCACTGCTGGACATAAGCCTCCCCCATAGACTCCCATAAAGAACGGTCCTGAGACACCTGCTTCCACTGACTCCCTACAATGCATTTCAGATCGTCACTCCATCTAGTGGGAGGGTCGTCCTGCACTGTTTTTACCCGTACACATTAAACAACGTATTAAAAAAGTAAGTAACCATTGAAATTTACTGCTAAAATTAATATTGTTTCTAAACCGCTACCGCTTGTCGCTAATCTTATCCACTATAAGTCCAGTTAAGAATCATTTGTTAACAATAAGGAATTATTCACGCATCAGTTAACGCCGTGCCCTTCCGTTGGCAAAGTACCAAATAAATGCTTCTAGATGGACGGACAGCCCTAACAAAGAATATTGACTATTTATTGTTTAAATATTTATTACTAGCTTACGCCCGCGGGTTGTCTTACGAAATTACGTTCCGAAAGGGATTTTCAAAAATCTTTTCTTATTGGTTAGTCGATATCTTCATTACCATCATTGATGTCACCAGTCTTTAATTGTAATAAGGGTGAGACTCTTGGGGGTTTTGTCAGTAGTTGCCATACTTGGTAAGGCAGGTTGGCAACCGCAGTTACGCTTTGAGGATATTTTAGGAGGAACGCTGCTGCTTATCGTTAGCCCTTCCTTAGTCGCTTCTTACGACATCCACGGGAAAGGAAGGGATGGTCTATTTTATGCCGGAATCAACGAAAAAATTTGGCAAAATCTTAACACACCATAAAACTTAAACATTCCTCAGGAATGGCAACGCATGGGGAGTATCATGGGCGAAACAGTATACTCTGTTATGTCCATGGTACTGTTCATGTCTATAGGCGACGGCTACCACTTTCCATCAGGTGGGCCGTCAGCATGTTTGCCATTCTGGGCCAACTAACCTGCATTCATTCTCACCTATCACGTTCCACTGGTGCCTCGTCGGTGTATACCGATAGCGCGAGCGGGGTTGCCAATCCATTTCACCCATTAAAAAAAAACCGCAGTTAGGTTTTGGAGATATTTTAAGAGGGACGCTCCTACCCATCTCTCGCCCTCCCATAGTCGCCTCTTTCGAAAAAGAAAGGGGCAGCCTACTGGGATTACACGGCTGTTTTCGAATGGTTTCAAATATTTAGAGAACTAAGTTAAAAAGAAGAAAATAAAAATTACTTGCTTTAGTGTTTTTTTAATTAATCAGCTTGATCAAGCGCTTTTACAGATATAACCGTTAAAATCTACATGCTTAGATCAAGCCGCTTGACGATCAACGAATCTCTGTGGTCACTAAAAACAGCAGCCAACAATGCAGTTAAAAACTTCATTAAAATGCCGTAAGCGGAGGCATGCGGAAGGCTGGCCGGGCGACGCTCGGGACGCGGCAAAAACAGTCGCTATCTCTGACTATATTGTCTTATGAACTATGCAACATTCATGAATTGATCTCTGTAACTTTCTCATCACAATGACGGGGCCATTTTGCTTTGCAAATCTATCATTACGTATGGAAATTTAATAAGTACTGCCGTCAATGTGATAGTCTGTGGTTACTACACTGCAAATGTTGTGTAAAATTTATTAATATTAATATATTATTATATTAATATATATGAAGAAAATGACTGAACGATAATTAAATATACAACAAAATTCGCTTTCAAAGGACACGAATTGTTAAATAGAGAATATTTTATTTAATGTTAGGGTACCTCCCTATGTATAAAACGTTATATTTCGAACTTTCCAGGAAAAACTACGATAAATAGCTAGTATTAGTTGTAATTACATATTTTAATTGGTTGTACTCTTTCTCCATCACTACATGAAGTTTAATAATAGATACGATATCCTACAGATATAAAGGAGTGATTGCATTCTTAGTAATTACTACACGCATTTCAAGAATACAATAGGTAACTCGGGGATGAAAAGGAGTGATTGTATTCTTACAAATCACTACATGCAATTCAAGAATACAATAGGTAACTTGGGGATGAAAAGGAGTGATTGTATTCTTAGTAATCACTACATGCAATTCAAGAATACAATAGGTAACTTGGGGATGAAAAGGAGTGATTGTATTCTTACCAATCACTACATGCAATTCAAGAATACAATAGGTAACTTGGGGATGAAAAGGCTTGATTGCATTCTTAGTAATCACTACAGCAAATTCAAAAATACAATAGGTAACTCGGGGATGAAAATGAGTTATAATATTCTTACATTATTCACACTGAGTTTAAAAATAGAATACAATATAACGTAAATTACGAAATAACAGCTTATATGAGTTTGGTTTAGAATAATTTTGCATTAAGGTCACCAGAAATATTTTCGTAATGGCAGCGTAAAAAACGTTAATTTTGTTTCAACATATAATATTAATATAGCTAATGTTATAAATAGGAAAGTGAGTTTGTTTGTTACGTATTGGCTTAACTAATGGTCATGAAACTCAGTATATACTAGGTAGTATAGATATATAGATATCGATCCGATATATATATATATATATATATATATATATATATATATATATATATATATATATATATATATATATATTGTAACTAAAATATATAGATATTGCTATATAGTATCCAACCCTAGTGTATTTGGGATCCATAGTATTTGGGATGATGGATGAAGTCGAACATAGGCTACTTTTTATTTCGGCCAATAAATATGTCTTAATCACGTGGACGAATTAAAAAAAAAACTGGTAAATACATTTTTTTTTAATAAAATACAGTATTTAGAACAATTGCTTTATTTACTTATCAATTTGTGGTCACGTCACGTCATTAATTTTGAACTGTTTTCGATTATTGGGGTTTTTAGAGTTTGCTTCCGTATTGGACGAGTTATTTTTGTTTGAAAGTCGCCGTGTTTTTTGCGAAGCACACATCATCATTTATCAACATCATGATCAGCCATTAAAGATAGGTCTCCTTCATAGACTGCCACAAGGAACGGTCCTCAGCCACTTGCACCCCTGATTTTCTATACAACATTTGACGTCGTCACTCCATCTAGTGAGGGGTTGTCCTACGATATACACGATCACACGTCTTGAATTCAAATGTTTTCAATACAATCTATCTACGAAACAATTTGCTCTTTTTTGCGGGGCAAAATTGATTACAGGCTATATCATCATATCAGCCGTTACCTGTCCACTGTTGGACATAGGCCTCCTCATATGGGGAGTTTTGCCAGTAGTTGCCACGCTTGGCAGGCGGGTTCGTGTACGGTAAGTCACAATACGAGTACAACTCACGACAGATGTTCGTCTCGGGCGTGCGTGGGCGAGCCGCAGGCGGCTTTGTTCGACCGGAAACATAAACTGACCCGCTTGCATCAGCTGCGTACGCGCACACTGATTGTTGCTTACGTTATTTATGGGGACGCTCGTTTGTTTACATTATATTAAATGGGAAATAAATGTGACAGATAGATACACATATATCAAACTGATGGATTGTACCTTCTGAGTTTGTTATCTGATATTCGATGAAGGTAATGAGCATACAGCCCGCCTGATGGTGACCAGTTGAATGAAAACCACGTTTTGAATAGAACAGAAATATTTTTTATTCAAATAGACTTGTTTACAAGCTCTAATAAATGGGCATTTTTTATAATTCTATTGCTGATTTCGGAATGCAATACTCTTCTTAGAAGAATCTGCAATTTTTAATTTTGAAGAAGGTATTCAATATGAATTTCGATGGATGTAAAGGAGACAATGAAAGAGGACGTGGCTCCATCCACGTCTTCTTTCACTGTATGAAAGATGACTAATGCAAATATAAAATTCCATAAAATTTTTAAGTTTTAATTTGCTGTTTGCCATTCCAAGTTGTATAAAAAAAAAAAAAAGAATTAAGCTAGTTTTATATAGTGCATTAATCTAGAAACGAGATTTTTATATTCAAAGAGAACAAATATAAAAACACATAAATTGTAATACAAACAATTTACAGAAACTCTATCTACTAATCACTACAGTACACACAAACTGGCCGCCCATTAATAAACCAATGTTTGTGCGTCTGTCAGTAATGAGCTCCAAAACTGGCCACCGTCCGGACCCCTTATCTGATGTGCCGAGTCTGGGTGGTTTAAAATTACCAAAATGGTGCCTGTTTATTGAATAATTTACACAACTATTCTATCTATACTTATAATAAATCTGTAGAGAGGTCAATTCTGTACATGAAATATATTTCCAAAATAACTATCAGCGGGTGATTAGTGATCGATACTGATGCCAAAAATGCAATCAGTAAAATTTTTGTCTCTCTGTCTGCATGTTCGTTATAGAAACAAAAACTACTCGACGGATTTTAACGAAACTTGGTACAATTATTCTTCATACTCCTGGGCAGGTTATAGTATACTTTTCATCACGCTACAATCAATAGGAGCAGAGCAGTGAAGGGAAATGTTGGGAAAACGGGAGAAGTTACTCTATTTTTAAGCTTCCATCGCGTGTGCAGCCTTAATGGGCACTTTTTAAAATGTAAAAATGTCCACCCGTGTGAAGCCGGGACGGGCCGCTAGTTGAGAATAGTGTTATTTCCCACGTTTAAATAACTTTAGAGTTTAAAAGTATTATTTAAATGACTGTTATATATTTACAGTGTATAAATTTTATTACTTAAAAATATTTCATACTATCTTTTACCTGCGACTTCCTCCGTGTACCACGTAACATATCTTTATTTATGCAACTTAGAATAGCAAACAAACTGACGGCCCACTTAATGGAAAGTGGTAACCGTCACCTATAGACATGAGCAATACCATGGACATAACAGATATAACATTTGCCCATGATACCACCCATGCGTTACCGTTCCTGAGGACTAAGGTGTTATTACCTCTGTACCCTGTAAATTCACTGTTATGGGATATAGCAGTGAATATTGGTCAAGGTGAACTAACGAGTCCATTTTCATCCTCGCCTCTCATCCCTCATTGATGCCTTACTATTATATGTACCACAAGCAGGGTTACCATTCTATTATTTATTCTATATAAACTGCAACTGCGATTCATTGGCAGGTATGCGCACGAATCTACTGGGCACGGCTTATCCAGAGCCAGGGTACTACAGATATCTTAAACCGCTGGATGACGTTAAGGTAACATATAGGATCTATGAAATGATGGTATAAGCCAGGGGGAAGCACAAAAGATCCCTACGGGTCGACGTCCAACGGCTTAGTTGACCTCATATGCGAAAATAAGATAGGATAAGATGATCTATCTGTTTTCCTTTAACTAAAGGTTGTCTGAGAGATCGCCCTAGCGATAAGACCGTCTTTTGTACCTTTATGTGTATATTTTATTCTGTACTCCATGCTATTGTATTTCAATTGAATTGTTTATATGTCATTGTTTATTTTTATGTTTTTGGTGCAACGAAGAGTTAAATAAATAATAAATAAATAATCCTATAAAAAAAATTGAACGTGTTCGACTACTATTTCGTTTAATTAAACTTGACTTCAAAATCAATACAAAATATGAAACCACAGTGCGCGTACGCATAGACAAGTGTTGACTCTACAATTAACCTCGAATTGTTTGCTGATGGTACACTTGAGGCTTCCAGTGTCGAACATTCTAGAGGCTTGAAGCGTTGGAACATACAAATCATTAAAAAAACAATGACGCCCGTGATAAATGGTTTTGTTCGAAACAGTAAATTAGTAATAACAAGCACTTCATTGTAGCACAGTTTCTTAGAATTCTCGTTTGATATATAATATAAGTTCAAATTAACATTTTTGCGTTTGGGAATCAACCACTTTTTGGTATCAATTTCCAACAGCGGTATTTCCGAACCGATACGACATTCATTCATATTCCTTTTTGAAAGGCCGGCAGTACACCTGCAATGCCTCTGGGCGGTGGTGGTCACTTACCATCAGGTGTCCGTTTGTTCGTTTGTTCCGCATGTTCGTTTGTCCCCATGTTCGTTTGCCCCGTTTATTACTGTCGTGTTATAAAAAAAAAATAGGAATGCCCAATTTTGACAGTTAGATTAGGTATGTAGGTTGTATATATAGATAATGGCAGATGATGATGGGACGCTGCTGCCCACCCCTCACCCTCCCTTAGTCGCCTCTTAAGACATTTTCTGGAAAGGAAGGGGTGGCCTATATATACGACAGATTTTGATTCTCTAAAAGACAGATAGATGGGTTCCTATAATAAAATACAATGATATTGATTACATAAATCAGCCATCGAAGCACATAAACAAACAAATAATAAATATCGAATCAAATATTCGTGCTGTCGTGCTCAGATAAAACCGAATTTTGCGCTCGTCGGTAAAATACCACCAATAAATAATCATTATATATCTATGTTGATATTTACAGGTGAACTTGATTTATACTTTTAAGTGGACAGAGGAATGAGAATAAATCATTGTTGGACAACGTAATCTCTCACACTTAAGGTTCAAACTGAAACAAATGTTTTATTACTAAGATATACATATATTTCCTCACTCACATGTTTATTAAAAGTACATATTTATTACATGCACATGTATGTACATGTAATGTACATGTTTATTTGTTTAAATTATTTGTTTATACTTATTGATGTGTTCAATGAGACAATGATGTTTTATAGTTCTTTTTTATAACTTTATAATTAAAAGCGATTTAAACTAAGTAAGTATTAATCGAGAAGAAAGATTCGACTTTGTTGTTTCTATCGGATAGACATAAAAAGAACTTAACCGATTTAAAAAAAAAATCTTTCTAAAAATAGATAGTTACGTTATCAGTGAATAACACGGATTGAATGGATATTTATTAAAAAAAAATCTTTGTATGGAGGGAAGTAATTATCTTGCTCGAAAGGACCAATGTTTAAGTAATGTATGAAATTATGGTACCGGCATAGAATAGGCCACTTCTTTCTTTCCCGTAGGTGGATAGAAGCGACTCTTAAAATATCACCAAAAGCCTAACTGCGGTTGCCAACCTGTCTGGCAAGCATAACAACTACTGGCAAAGTGGTGGAAAGGGATTGTTAGCAATGGATTTTGACAGCTCCATTACTTGCAATATGCTCTATTAGGTCGACCTCCACGTAGTTCCCCATTGGAAACCATCGTGAACAATTCTTGTTGAATTCGTCACGATGGGCTAACTGACCTGCTTCATCCTCACCTATCACCCTTCACTGGTGCCCCGCCGGTGTATACCGATAGACGGGCCATTCCATTAACACCCATTAAAAAAAATACTGGCAAAATCCCCTTTATAGGTGAAACCTATATTCAGCAATGGATAGTTAACAGCCGATATGACGACGACGAAGGTAATGATAAAGTACATTTATTTATTAGAATTACCTGTTACATGTCATCAACACCTAATAGGATCAATTTAAATAATTTAATTTTCAAATTGACTTATGAAACGGCTCGGTTACAAGATTATCGAGTTAAGATCACAATTTATTGCTTTAAAAGGGCACAATTTAAGTGCGATAAATTCGAATTTAATATCACAATAAGTTATGGGCGCATTGCAATTATATCGTGTGACATTAGTAAAACTAGTATATCGGAGATTGTGTAAAAGCCGCCTGTATGGGTACCATTGTCTCATTCGTGTCGCTGTAGCAATGAAATTGTACCTGAGCAACTATATTTTATTTTCAAGGTTGGGAAGTTACTGTGTACAGTGAGGGGGGGGGGGGTTGTTAGTAATGCGGACTACCAGTCCTGTTCCTGAGGGAACTGCGTGGTTTTCAATCTGACAGTGTATATTGCTAGCAATGGAATTGTTACATCTTCATTTACTAACAATCCCTTCCCCCCAGAGTACTGACCTGACAATAAACAGTGTAAAAAATGTGTTAAAATTTACACACGAATGGTTTGCGTGCACAAATATGTAGTTTATATAAATAAACATAAATAAATGATGTTTATAGCTTGATTGAAGTTGCACTCGTGTTGTTTATTATACGGTAGCAATATCTGTTCGTATGTCACATAAGAACTAGCAGTGAAGCAATCACAATCCTCCATAGAGTCTGCAGTTTACGACCACTGCGCATGTTCCGTTTTTCTGATAGGATTCTATGCTATTTATTTATAAAAAACTAAAACTTTATACATACTTATTTTCAACTGTTACACTGTTTTGTCACTTTCTTCCAAATAGGCAATTTAGTATAAGAGAAAGAGACAAAACATTTCAATAGCTAAAATATGTGTAGGTGTAATGTAAATATATGTAAGAGACGTTTGTTTTTAAAACACTGTCGTATATGACTAGCAAAATCGTTGGCTTTACTTACATTAGAAACTTCAAAGTTTTTATTTTAATATCTAAAAGTTTTATTATATACTAGCGGCCGGTCCCAGCGTCGCACGGGTGGACGTTTTTAACGTTTTCCTTCACTGCTCTGCTCCTATTGATCGTAGCGTGATGAAAAGTATACTATAACCTGCCCAGGAGTATAAAGAATAATTGCACCAAGTTTCGTTAAAATCCGTCAAGTAGTTTTTGTTTCTATAACGAACATACAGATAGACAGACAAAAATTTTACTGATTGCATTTTTGGCATCAGTATCGATCACTAATCACCCGCTGATAGTTATTTTGGAAATATATTTCATGTACGGAATTGACCTCTCTACAGATTTATTATAAGTATAGATTTTGATTCGCCATAAACTTCATAATTTCACTTTCCATCAGGTGGGCCGTCAGCTTGTTTACCGTTCTAAGTTGCATAAAAAAAATTAGTTTACATCGATAAGACATAAATGTTTGAAAATTATACAACGCCATCTAGTAACATTTTAGGTGAACTAAATCAATACAAATCTATACACGGCTTGACTGATTTAAATGAAATTCGGTACAGAGTTAGACCATATACTAAATTATCTCATGGAGTACTTCAATCCTAATTTACACGAACAAAACCGCAGGATATATTACTATTTTTCTAATAAATATTGAATTAAAGTCGATGCATATAGAAAGCGGGGTCAATGCTTTACCGGTATGCGTTGTTATTGTACGTACGCATATCACAGCATGCATATAAAGTCTTCCATCGAATTTACGACAATCAAGCATAGATTTAAATGCAAAAATATTTTGTGTCATTAAACAAGCATCGCATGAATAATTTACGAGTCATATCATCTCTATGAATATGTATAATATTTCAAAGGAATAAATGTCGACACGAGGAATTTATGACTTAATTGATATTTTTATTTGTAACGGAATCTATCGGAATCTATTTAATTAATTAGATATAATTAGTTGTATCGTTAGGCGAAATTATGGCGATTTTAAATGAAGTCGTTTATTGGTATTTATTTATTTATTTGTTCTTTATTGCACAATTAAACTTTGTACAAGTGGCGTGCAATATGGCATTCTCTACCAGCTAAACATTAGGTAAAAACAGAAAGCGTATGAAGGGCAGATGTGGTGAAAAATATGTGACACAATTATAGCAACATACTGAAATACATAAGAAATAAACATATAACACATAAATACTACTATATATATATATATATATATATATATATATATATATGTAAATATTACGGGATATAGTAACTATTGAGTAACCTGTAACTATATATTCTGTTGAGGTCGTCGTGATGTGACTTGCTTATTAGTACAGCTTATAATTTTATTACATAACTTTTTTTTTTAATAGATGATAATGGAATGGTAACCCCACTCGCGCTATCGGTATACACCGGCGGGGCACCAGTGAAGGATGATAGGTGAGGATGTAGTATGTCAGTTAGCCCATCGTGATGAATTCAACAAGAATTGTTCACGATGGTTTCCAGGGGGAACCACGTGGAGGTCGACCTAATAAGGCATATTGCTAGCAATGGGGCTGTCAAACTCCATTACTAACAATCCCTTTCCCCCCTTATTACATGATTTTGAATTTACCTACTTAGATGAAAATTTTATGAGATAGAATGCATTATACATTATATATCCGTCCTTAATAAATGTCTATATTTTAGAACAATGAATTTATTTCCTCATCATCATCATCATCATCTCGGCTGTTGTCCGTCCACTGCTGAACATAGGCTTCCCCCATAGACTGCCA